TGCGCTGCTTGCTTCAAAGATAAAAGAACCCCTCCTTCCCCCAGAGCAGGATAGAGGGAACCTTCTTGTACCAGGGTAAATTTTGAGTGACAATACTGAAGTGAAGAGCTGCTGTTTGTTTCTATGAGCAGAGGAAAGCTGAATTTGGCTCACTGATTTTAAAAAGCCCTTGTAGTTGTTTAAATGGGTGAACGAAACCTGGCTTTGTTTTGTGCCCTTGCTTGCTACAGTTGGGTGCTGGTTTTTTTTGTTGGTTTTGCTACTGCTTTTGCTTTTCCAGCACAGTAAATACAGCTGTCCTTAAACGCTGAGAAGTCCTATTGCATTGCCAAAATGAAATGTTCTTAAAATTCCTGAGACTATTAGAATTACAGAAGTGTTCTTTAAATATTTTCTAGATCATTTAGAAGTGATCGCATTTTCAGGCCTTTCTCCTAACCACAAGGAGTTGAAACATCATTTGCACAAGTAAAAAACCCAAATTTTCATGTACTAATATATTTTTAAAGGGACACTTTGCCATGAACACTAGTCGCTGTAAAGGTGTGCAAGTACTGTAATTTTCTGCTATTGGTGTGTATATTGAAGACTAGCTAGTGGTTTTTCTTGAAAAATAAATGTAAAGAGAAACAATCCCAAGGCTCTTCCAATCCCAACAAAAAAAGTTCCACTGAAGAAAGGACAAGGCAAAAATTATGGAAAGATACTAACATAATGTAATCTCCCGTCCTTTGAAGATGCAATTCATCATTGACACTAAGTTTGTGAAATTTGTTTTTCATAATAATCAGATTGAAAAGCAGTTTTTAATACTTCTCTTCTGTGTGACTTCTGCTTCACTATTTATTGAATAGCTGAGCACTTTACCATGCACCTTTAAATCTTTTTACAATGCTTCCTAAAGCACCTTTCCTTCCTCTTCAACTTTTGATGAATTTATAAGGCTTCTATAAACATAGAATCATAGAATCATTTAGGTTGGAAAAGACCCTTAAGATCATTCAGTCCACGCAGCACTAAAGCTCACAAAGATCATCGAGTCCAACATCACACTAAAGCTCACAAACAGTACGGAATTTTGCATGTCTACCAGAAAAAAGCTCTGAGAATAATCCTACAGGACTGAGTCGTTTGAAGCATTAAATTTTTTCTCACAAATGCTGTCAATTTTCTTGTTGTTTAGTTCTCACTTTCACACTACTGCCTTTCCAAACCATCAATGATATGGCATCATATGGGTTAAGGAGACAAGAAAAATACAATTCTGAGTTAAATTTCTAGAAAATTACCCCTCTGTGATTACACAGGGGCTTGTGATACAGAGGGCCTATTATCACCAACATGTGATTCAAATAGATGTAATTCTATCTGTGTGCTCTAGTGTATGGAGAACTCATTTGTACTTGATGTAAGCAAGCAGACATTATTTCATGTGATAGGCACAAGTTACCACTGATCCTCAGGGAGAGTTTTCATCAGGCTTGTTTTAAGCTGAAGAGCCATGGAAATACCAAAGCTACCTCTTTTTTTCTTTCAAACTGTTCCAGTTATTTCCCTACCAGCTCTTCCAGAGCAGAAAAGTACTTTTAAACTGGCTTGCTTACATTTAATTGCTTGGATGATAAACATCATGTAGTTCAAATCTTACTATGGCTAAAAAGAAATACTAACATTACCCAGGAGTAAGCAGATTTCATCTACTTAGTTCTTCCCAATCCATGAAGGACAAATTCTCACATGATAAAATCAGGAGGCCAGTTGTGCCATCAAAAGCTTGGGAGTGAAGCCATCTGTCCCTCAGTTGTAGTTACAGAGTCAAAGTGTGGTTAGAAGTAAAAGTCTGTAAACACTCTGTGGTAACAAAGCCCCACAGAAATCTTGATTCATTTTGGGCAACAGCTTTTATAAAAGATGTTAAGCAGTATAAACAGGCAAAGGCTGATGTTACAGACCTTTCCTACTTTTGGAGCTTTTTAAATTTTATTGTTGCCAAAAAATTCTGGCTGCTTATACCAGAATCGATCACTTTTGGCTGAAAATTAGTTTGCAAATTCATGGGGTCATGTGGTCAGCTGTGTAGTGTGTCGAGTTTGCATCAAGGATTTGGCCCTTTTCAAAGCTGCCCTTTTCCTATATGTATCTTTTCACTCATTCTAGTCTCTGGTACAACATACATGAACATTTTACAACAGTTTGTTTTAGTAGTTTCCCACAATAAAATGGCTGTATTGTCTCAAATTCCTGGCAAATTTCTATTATATCCTCATGTGGGTAATTGGCAGCGGTACTGGAACTTGAGACCTCTGGATCCTGTGGTGCTGCTGCTGTAGTCACAAGTATATGAGCAGGAAGGATATAGCTGATTTATAAAATCTTGATGCAGCCCAGTCACTACATGGGGAAACAGACTCCAGTAACAACTGCCATTCATACAGGCTCAGACCAGGTGTTCCCCTACAACAGCAGAGCCCAGGAAAGCGCTGCGAGATCAATGCTTCCCTTCCAGAATTATCAGTTTCTCTTTCAGGGCGACATTTTCAAACATATTAAGTAATTTTTTTTTTTTTAACCTTTTTTTCTAAACATGCCTAAATAATTTAAGTTTTCCAAATAGCTTGGCTGTGTTAAGTTACCTTCTCTTTTTAGTTTCTCAACTGTGTATTTGGTCCTTTATTTTGCTGAGTTCTGCCCTTACTCTGAGTTTAATCTTACACAGAAGATAAACAGATCCATCCTGCTTTAAAATACTGCTCTTCAAGGTGTGTTTCCACTTTTGAAAGAGTATACAAAGTGCAGTGGGAATGCCATGTTTGTCTTTGAGTGATGCCAAGCAGCTGTATTTGCTTTGCAAATTGAGGGTGCTTTTTAAAAAAAGATGGCTGGCCTGAAAGTCAAGCCTCGTCCTGCCCTTAATTCCCTCACTGACCCCTGTACAAATCCCTGACATTGAAAGGAGTATCACACCTACCTAGCTCTGTAATTAGAAGAGAAAAAAAGAGTTCTGTTGAAGACGGGACCAAGAGCATCTGATTACTTACAAGTATTGTGAACAGTAAAATGCCTAGAAATTGGCAGATATAATTCCAAGCATACAGAGGCACAAGAAATGAAACACAAAGAGACACCGCCTGACACAGCTACACTTCAGAGCAGAGCCACGTAATGTAGTTAAAATGTGTATTGAAATACTAAACCACACTTGGTGTACTAAGACTGCAGTGTTCCCAGAAGCAGCCCACTCCTAGCCCAACCAAATCCACGCTTGCATCTCTCATCAAAGAAAATGTGTTTGCATCACAGTCTGAAGAGAAATGCTGTCTCTCACCTGTTAGTCCTGGGTCTGTCACACGCTGAGCCTCCAGTACATCAAAGGTCAGCTGGTACTGAAAAGCACAAGGTGGTCCTGTGCTGCTGAGTTATGACTTATGTTAGAGATTTTATTTATTTGCAGAAGCCTGATTGTGAGAAGCTGATTTATGGAATAAAACAACTTTCAATAACCCTGTCAAGTGGAGAAGCTATAAGGAAGGAATAAATGTCATTATAGATAAGCTACATTTTCTTTTTTTCAGGAGAGGTTACAAGAAGAGACATAAATAAATTTCACAAATTATGTATGGACGATATAATAAGATTCCTGTGTAATACCTGCATGGAAATTATAATTACATCTCTTACAGTGAGGTTACATGTCAAACTGTAAGGCAGCAGATAAATTTTGAAAAACTACCTATCTGATCGATGTGCACAACACAGATTCTGGAATTTCAGTTCCATTTACTCAAAACATTCAGCTTAAAAGCTTGATAGGTAATTAACTAGGATAGAAGCAGTGCTTGCAATGCTAAGAGAGCCAGTGTTTACCTATGCATGTTTATTTTTCTTTCACCACTCTTCCAGATGAAGATGAGTTATTTGCCTTTCAGAATCAGGTTTTACTGATATTTACATGTGGAAAACTGTATACAGATATAGAAAGAAATAAAAATAATCAAAATCACCCATAAGCAATCCACCTCACTCTACACTTCGAGATTATTTTTCAAGGGCCACAGAGGAAAAGTAAACCAGTCAGTACTAAGGGAGTGTGCAGTCAGCTAACAGAAATTAAGCAGAGCAAACTGGTAAAAAGCAATAGCAAACAATAACCTAGGTACAAACTTTTAAAGATACTCCAGTGCGCTGCTCTTACTGACCTCAGTGGGAGGTCAGTCTTACTGACCTTTTCCACCTTTCCGATTCTGACACTTAGGCCACTAGTTCACTTGATGCCAGGTCTGGATTCTGACACCTTATGACGTTAAATAATAACTTAATATTAAAAGTATGTCCAGGATGGAGGCGGTTCTCATGGGAAGGTTCTGTTCCGTGCATTTGTGGCATTAGAATCTAGCTAACAGCAAAAGCCTAGTCCAATCCAAACTCAGCTGAAAGCCTTCCACTGATGCCAGCTGAATTAAGCAAATACAATTTCAGTAAGATCACAACGGTTAGGCACTGCAAAGCAGCAAACACCAGAATATTTTAGAAAGAAGATTTTAATTTTTTGGAAGAAACACGTTTTGTGAAATACAGGATCAGGACATCAAGACTAAGTAGTATTTTTCTTTTAATAGAAAATTCAGAAGGATGTAGTATCTGCTTAAACATGTACCTCCACATTCTGCTGCATGTTGCTGTAACAAATTTATTAGTCATAGCTCTCGTTATGGACAGATGGTTCCTACAGCAAAAATATAGAAAAATAATTTGGATTCAAGTCTAGAAGACCTGCAACTTTTCATATGCAAAAAAATAAATCCAACTAGTCATAGAAAAGTGGCTGATAAGGATGGAGAATAGGGCTGTGCATCTGGATAGCCATGACTATATACATTCCAAACTTAAGAAACGAACATTCTTCCTCAGCCTCATAAAAATAGTTTGTCAATGAAAAATACCAATATGTAATACGTAATACATTTAATACAATTTATACTTGAATTTAAAGATCTCAGATTATGGAATAACAAGCTAAAATCAAATGTACTGCTTTTTCAAATGTTCTTGTATATAACAATACTCTCTGTGTATACAGTGTGCATGCATGTATATATATACACGCACAGAAAGAAAGAGGTGTATAGAGATTTGCTGAAAAATTCTACAAGATTATCTGATTTCATTGCAGACCACAGCATACAGACTTCCTGGGATCCTTCTAACACAGGCTGCTCTAAAATACAATAATGTTGACTGGTATAACCACGTATCTACAACAGGTTTTTGCTATCATGAATTTAATTATCAATTTATTTTTCCAATCTAGATTTCATTTTTCTAAGAAGTAAATGCTGCTTTGGTAGGATTCTGTACTGTCATGACAAAGTAACTGTGAACATATTGGGGAAAAGCCTTGAAAGTATGAATTAATTTTGATAATTAGTAATAAAGACACCAACAAGTTTTAAGCAGCAACAGATTTAAGATGACTATGTTCTGACTTATTTTCTTCACCAACAAGCATCTCGAGCAAGAAACTAAAATGAAGAGATTAAATTTCTCTGCCTGCCATCACCGTGACATTTTAAGCCACCAAAGTCACAGCTGGCACTGAAAGAACAGTGGCATCAGCAGAGACCTCCATCCTTGCAGGACATAAATTGCACTGTGACACCCTGCCAACACTGCCTTGAAAAGGCCTGTGATCTGCCGTGTCTGGTGTATGATGCTTTCGTCGGGTCTTTTCTGAATGTGTCGGATTCTCTGTGGTCCTTGTAGTTGTAGACTGGTCTTGATTTTTCATAGCTCCTTTATTTTTAGATCTGAAGCTGTTATGCTGCTGTCTTCTGTGTTCAGACCTGGAACCACTCTTTGTATTATTTTGATCTGCCTCATTACTGGTACCTTGTGACTTAGGAGATCCATTGAGCCGGATGTTTTGGTGCTGTGGGTTGAATCTTCGTCTCTGGCTAGAAGGCCCATTCTACCCAGAAAGAAATGGGATAACTGTCAGGTTATCTGAATCCTTCAAACAGGACAAGAAATACAGCAGCCAGAATTAAGAGAAATTGCGGAATAAAACTCTCAGTGTAACTAGAAGAGGGAAAACACTATACAGTTTTGATTGTTGCCAGAGCTCTCTATATAAACACTTAAAAACTGAACTATGAGTAAGATGCTACATCTGAGTAGCCTGGAAATATAGATGGCATGCTCACCACTGATGCCAAATCAAAATCTGCCATGATTCAAGAGAATACGGAAAAGGGGATGAAATACCAGACATCTCAGCAGCAGTTAAGAAGCACTGAAGAACTTGATACTGACTGATTTTTTCCAAAATCATGAAAATACCTTTATAATAAAGTATTGTGTAAATACTACAGTAAGACTGCAGGAAGAACAGAAATTCACATGTAAATTAAGGTCAAGAATCCACATGGTGGGAGAGATGTCGACTGTGATATCTTGCTCAGAGGAAGCTTTGATCCTTAGTGGGAAGTGGCTGAATTGCTTTATTTGCACGACTGCCAGCACAGCCAATTCCATACATGCACTGACATTATGTAATGCTCCTGTGTTTCCCTTCAGGCACCTACTTGAGCCTAAAATCCCTACTGGGGCAAAATTCAGACCAACTTCAGCGGCAGCTTTACCTAAGCACAACAGTACAAGGACATTCTAAGGTGCTCTTATAATGAAATAGCTACCAATATAGCACAATACTATAAGCTGTATTACACAGCTTCTGAAATAATATGCTTTTAAACTGGCAGGATTCCACTTTCAAAGTCTATCCATTAATCATGCTTCAACAATACATTAAATGATCATTTGTCAAGGATCAGGAATGAATGTTTCTCCATTGTAGCATGTAGGGCAACTAGCTATTATGGAGGGCTTTTCTTTTTCAGTGTGTTAACTGCCACTAGTCACTTCTGATCACCAGAGAGCGGTCTTTGCTGGTATGGCATTTCTGGTATTTCCACCTTGTATGTTCATACTGCCTCAAAAATGAAGCTGGAAAATATATACTTGCATATTTTCAAAAATTATTAATTGGATATACAGACTGCAAACCAGTATTTGATTTTGTATTAACAACTTTCTATGCCGTATATTTTTCTGAAATTTTTGAAATAGTTTAAGTTTAGTTCATAACTGGTTTCTTACCTGCTTATTTGTCGGGATTCCTTGGTAAGAAGATTCTGTAGGATTGGAAGAAAAATGACTTTGTACTTTAGTGCTGGCTGGTTTATTATCAGAGTTCTTGGCATTACTAGAGGACTTGCGGGTGTGCGTATTTTGCTTGCCAGTTGTCGCATGCGAGGTCATTGTAGACAGCACCGAGGTACATGGTGTTCTTGAGGAATAGTTGTTCTTTGGGTGAGAAACTATAAAAAAAAGTATTCTGTGTTATCAGTTAAATGATCAACATCTAAACATAAGGCTTGATTCTTACCCTGCTTACAGTTAATTTTGGTAGCATCGTTCCAGCTTTTCTTTAAACAATGAACTAAGCCAGATAAGTAGGGTCAGAATTAGGCCATAGCGTTTTACTGCTGTGAAACTGCCCCATCATGAAGCACTTCTGGAGACAGAAGGGCCCAGTGTGGTGGAACTACACTAAAACTGGAAGGAGCCTGGCGAAAGGCTAGGCTTTGATCATCCAAGAAAACTTTTCAAAATTCGTGGCATCTGTTGGTTTGCTTGTGAACTTTTAACCAGTTGAGCTGAACACATGTGCTGTCAGGACTGCCCCACACATTGCTGTCCTCTCAAATAATGGTCCTAATGGGAGTCTTCAGGCGAGACGGGAAGAAACACGGGGAGTGAGTGGTATGCCAGTAACACTCTCGACTACTTGAGGTCAAAGGAAGTTCTGCCTGCAGACACACAGACTAAATTTGATTCCAAATTATTCTTTGGTCATGGAAAGCTGAAAAGGCTGGTATTTGCTGTCTATATATGTACTAACTACAACAAAGGTAACAGCCGTGAAAGCTTCCCTTGTATGTCTAAATATTTTTTAAGAAGGAAAAAAAGAAGTCTAGTGCCTGTTGCTCATTCCTCTTTAAGGAGATGGTTAACAAAGGTTCTTCTGTACCATGGATATCTATAAAAACTGGAACTGAATGTGATGCACCAATCCACTTCATGTAGATCATGGCAGTCAGCACCATCAGGAACCACTATTGCTCATCTCAGTATATTCCTGCTTCCTACTTCTTAGTATCTTGAGACCTCACATCCAGACATGAAAATTGGGAAGTGCACCAAACAAATCCTTGACTCCTACCTCTCTACATTTCCACAAGATCTTCAAGCTGCCTGCTTCTGTGCAATGACGTCTATGCAGTCTCACAGAGGACTCTCAGACTATTGAAGTAAAGTTCTTGATCTTAATTTGCTGTTCTGATTTTTCTGATTATGGAATTTTCCTGTTTCCTCTGGTACAGATGACAAACCAGAGGCTCACTTCAGTGAGACACCTGTTGTTTTATCTAAGAGGTACTTCTATTTTTCCACTTCTAGTACAGAGAAAGAAGATGCGGAACAATTTTAGCAACCGAGAATCATCTGTTAGGTTTTTTGAGGCGCTTGTTTACTTACTCCAACACCAGCTATCTCTCCCACTAGGTGTACTCTTCAGAAAAACAATGTAATGATCTGCACAATGAACTGAATTTTCTGCCCTACGTTCAGTAAGGCTGGCTGTCACTGAATTCTACTGCTCTCTCTTGTCTAAAATAGACTGCTGCACATGGAAGCCCATATAAAAATCCAGATGCTTGTCATAAAAATGTATTTTTAACAAAAAAGATGTACAAGGCAGGGGTACACCAAGGGGCATTCTGGATATGTCAGCCCAATTATTTTTGTTTCTTCCTGTCATTCATTGTGAGTGTATGCTGCCTACCCTCTTCTTATGCTAGAACATGCCTTCCTTTGCACAAGGTCTGCGGTTTTGGTTATTGCTTTTGTTAAAGCCCTCAACAGTGGCTGTTCTTAGCTACAGTCCTGGTATAACCTCTGTTTGAGGGGTATTTGCAGCTCCTAGCAGGAGGGTATGGGCCTCATTGTGAGATGCTCCAAACAGAAACATCTTTTGCACTGAAGAGCTCTTACCAAAGACATGCCAACAGCATGAGTTGCTCATCTAAGGTCACTCAGGGCAGATTAGAGCCAAGTTCTTCAGACAGCCAGTGCACTATCAGTCATTTGTAAGACGGCACTGCTTCCCTGCTAATAGCTGTTCTTTTGACTTCACTGACCTGATTTCAACAGGTCTGCAAACTATGCTTACGTAATGCTTTACTGAAATGAGGTATAAATAATTAGCTTGCAGAATTAACTGCAGCTGGAAGTTATTTAGGAAATTAGTTCAATGAGTTTAAAAAAAAGTCTATGGTTCTATCAACAGCAGCTGTGGTTATATTAGTCAGGATAATCTTTACAGAATTTTCAATCTCTTAAGCTTCAGGGTATGAGATAGGGTTTATGAGGTGACTGTGAACAATTAGATGCAATACTGGGAAGCTTACGCTTGCCTTTGAAACACCCTGGGCTGGCTTCAATGAGAGACAGGATATGGAATTAGATGGATCTTCAAAGTGTTCTGCAAAAGTAATTCTTACAGTCTAATGAATTAAACTGGTTATGCCTCAAAGGAGTCAGTTCTTTAGCTGTGCAGTCAGAAAATCCTACTGGCAGACCGTGTGATATTTTTTCTTTCTTCTATTTCTATAGTAACTCCTTGAAAACATAAATTATTTTTCTTTCCAAAATTATTTTCCTTCTACCAAGATGCACTAGTTCAGTATTATGTTAACAGTTTTTCTCCTGAGTGATGGTACTGATGGGAAATCATGGGACAGGGTAATACTTTGGGGCAAAGCACTACAGTATTTACTTTTTAGGGGGGAAAAAAAGCATGACAAAGATGCGAAATAGGCTATCTAGTATTTTGCAACAGGGACATGATACTCGGAGCAGAAAATGAACCTGAATTTCCAAGCAGACGGGCAGATGATCTGGAAATGGGAATATTTGGGACTACCTTTAGCTCTTGAAAAACCCAGTGCATATTGTTACAAAGCTAGGGAGTTACTTCCTAGCAGGAAACATCTGAATTGGTCTCCTAACATTATAATCACACAGAAAAGCTTCCGATTCACTAGTTATTCACAAATTACTGAATTTGAGTGTTCCCTGGAACTGACTTTTATTTCCACTTGGAAATCCTGTTTAGATGGAAAACTCCAACTGATTCAAGTAATACCTGGAAATCTCTGACAAAGAGGGCACTGCGCACATGCAGATGGACTGTGCAGCACGTGTACCGTAAGCCTAAAGTGTTGCATACTGTAAAGTTGACTTGTGTGTGTGCAGCAAGCCTGCTGCATCCAGATATACCACTCACGTCAGGCTTGCTGCACACACACACAGTAGCAGTACACGTGCCATTATTTCTGCCAGCATTTCCTGAACAGGTATGTGGAACACTATGTTCCAAGAACTTTGGTGTGAGAAATCACCAGCACTTACTTTCTCCACAGAGCTGAATTTGGGTCTTCAGCTGTTCTGTATCACAGGAAAATCGGGCAGACCTGCCCAGCTCTTCGTCATATTTCCGTTCACTCACAAAGTGCTGCAAAAATACAAAGTTAATAGTGATTTGCATTCTGAACAAAAGACTATATGGATGGTGCAGAAACCAATCAATACTTACCTTAAATTCACTTTAAGGCCCAACAAACTCTTGATCCTGCCCTGTACACAGGGTCTCTGTGCAGAACCAAGTATTCTCCCATCCTTACCAAATTACACAGCTCACAGCCCAGCGATGGGTGGATCACTCCCGCACTTGGGAATTGGGTCATTTCATTGGAGTATACGCATTTGATCACCGAACCTGAAGCTATCAGGTTTACTTGTTAACTGAGTCTGATAAATCATACACAAACAGCAAAACTCCCCACTCCTACACTTATGAAGGGATAGCTTACACTTCTCCGATAGCTTCTCCACACTGCTCAGAGGTGCTCTAATGCTTTGGGAAGGTATGCTTTCCCCACGGAAAGCTAGTTACCCTTTGGCTGAACAGCCTGGGCACATTAACATGACAGCTCTTTCTTGGCATTTATGCAAACTGCTAAAATACCCAAGAAGTGAACGCCTGACCTTAATTTCAGCCCTGAGTTCAGATAGTTGTGCTTCAGCCATCTGACTGGCTAGGTCTGTCAGCCTCTTCAGCTCCTCAGCTTTCTTCTGCCGAGCAGTCAGGATTTCCACTGCCAAATACCAAGAGTCAATCATTAATGCTAGGAAGGTAAATCGCTCTGTAATTCATTACTCTGAGCATTAACACTGTACATCACATGTGAGACAAACACACACATCTTGGACCCCTAACTTCAACTGGACATCCAACATGCTGCTTGCACAGATTAAGTCAATCAGCGTATTTAACTGAACTGCCTGATGTTGAAAAAGATCTGGAAATGGGATAGCTGTCAGAAAATGAAAGCTAAAACAATCCTTCAACATTTAGACAGATGGGGGCAGACACATGTTGTTTTGAGTTTTCCAGTGCTTTATTTTTAAGCAGAAAATCAGAGAGCCTTCCATGGAGACACCGAAGGAAGTATTACATTGAGTCAACAGCCTGTTAATTAAGACACGCTATATTTTATTTACATAGGGGCATTTCAGTTCCTCTGAAAAAAATCTGTTCATATATAGTTTATGTTAAAATCACTGGCATTGCAATTTTGCTTTCAAGTACAGAATATACACTGTTGGCATTTCTACAGCAAAGCAGTATTACAAAGGCCAACAGTCTTTATGAAAACATACTAAATATTCACTACTGCCCATCTTGTATATTTTATATAAGGAAGGGGTGAATAGTTATGTTCTTATAGGAAAAGATTAATCATGAACCACAAAGCAACGGTCCACTTATGTGCAGGATAATATGACATTACAATTTTGGTGGAAAATTAAATATATGCAAACTCTATTACCTACATGGTGATTCAATGTAAAAGCAACAACTGATTAATTAGCTGGTTGGATCAGCACTTACGGCAGAGAGGAAAGCTAGCATCTAAATGTAAAATAACAACAATCATAGTCTAGAGCTTATGCCTACAGTCAGGGTGAGTGGTAGTTGCCATAAGCTGTCCTAAGGCCACAGACTCCATTACAGCTGTGCAGACTTTGGATTCTTTGCCTTCTTTTGCCACAGATTTCCAGAGCAGACTCAGTCACCTAACCAGCTCATACTTCGCAATGCCATTTTTTAGGTGAGAATTAATGATATTTCACAGAGAGTTTGTTTCTCAACCCATTATGATTATTTAATCAGATGTCATGTTCTTTTGAAAGTATCATAGAATCACAGAATAGTTTGGGTTGGAAAGGACCTTTAAAGGTTGTCTAGTCCAACCCCCCTGCAGTGAGCAGGGACATCTTCAACTAGATCAGGTTGCTCAGAGCCCAGTCCAACCTGGCCTTGAATGTCTCCAAGGATGGGGCATCTACCACCTCTCTGGGCAACCTGTTCCAGTGTTTCACCAAGTGCAGTACAGTCCAGCAGGCGCAGGGAGACAGAGTTGTGGCTGTACAGCTGTGTGGGAGCAACCAAACCACATGATAGAGGAGCGTGTGTCACACAGGGCAAGGAGGGCAGAGGGTGGCTACAGTTCCTTTAGCCCTGTTGGTAAATCTGTGCCTACATTATTACTTAGGCTAAGAACAGGTGTGTATCTATCTCTCTAGCTGATCTTTTAATTTCATTTTTGTGGAATACGGTCTACAAGTCTGAGAAACTTTTATCAGATTAAATGAACAGTTTACTAGCTGTTTTCCTTTGCCTAACAGTTGTGCTTTATTGCTAATTCTAGGTAACGCTAATATTGTTTCTCTCCTTCTCTTCTTCTTCAGCATCCCCTTTGCTGAAGTGACTGCCCAAACCATATGATCTCTTCTCATACTGGCACTTACCTCTGCATGAGATGCCAGCCAAACACTCATTTTTTAAAAAACTTGAAACTATCATATTTGGAAATTTTCCTAGTATTGACAGGAAGAGTAAGATTACCCACTGTAAAATAGTCCTCCAGTGCAGCAAAGAGATGTGAAAATAATAATAATGTAAATCTTGGTTAGCATGTTACAGTCCTGTAACAACTTTCTGCCTAAAGTTCTGAAGGCACTTTACAAGCCTACAATAGCCTTGAGAGACAGCAGAAACTACAGTTCACGACAGGTACAGGGGCCATACGATGTCACATGTGGAGCTGGCATGAAAGCAGGGAAATAGAAGCTGCCACGTGCAAATGCAGCACTTCACATGCCTGTAGATAAGAATTAGGTTTACTTTCCACAAAAATTACTACTATACCTGGCCAAGATTAATGAAAAGGCCCTATGATACCATCAGCCCTGGATGGTGGATTTCCAAAATGTGTTTTTGTTTATGCAGTTAGGGCTTAGATCCATGTCTACTGATATCAACGGGAATTTTACCATTGGTTTTCCTGGGAGTGAGTGCATGCCCTGTAGCTGATTATGGCTACCTGGTCTCTGCAGGTAACCAAAAAGCTGCTGATATGTTTCCATCCACAACTCCTCCCCAGAATAACAGAGAACTCCAAATCCATGTCTATTTCATGTTAGTACTAAAAAGTTAGGGTACAAAATTCCAAACATAAACTAATGCCAATCTTTCCTGTAACAACTCATACCTTTCAGTTTCTACACATATACAACTGCAAGAGACTTAGCTAGCAATGGAGGATTTAGATTATTTTTTTAAATAAAAATTTAACTAGTATACATTTGTGAACTAAGTGAGAGTTCTAAATGCAAATGAAGCATTCAAGAATGCTACATATATTTGTAACCCTCCTTGGAAGGACCTTAAATTCACAAATCAATAAAAGGACTGTATGCATACATAGCAGTGATATTTTCATCTGCCAGGCAAAGTATCATTCTAACAATACTTCAGTTACTCTTCAGTTTCTTGCTTAGCAGCCTCTACTGAAACAAATCCCCTTGATTACTGGGTCATGAATACTATATCTCAGATCGGGTATGAGACAGATATTGTGGTATCCTAATACATGGTTCATCTTGCTTCCTTTTTTTTTTTCCAAACCAGAATATATATACCTTACAAAAAACAGAGGCAACATGAAAGCTGGAATCAGATCAACTCTCACAGATTATTAAGAAAACAGATTCCAGTAAATATCTGGTTTTTGGTTTTTTAATTGTTCTAATTCATAAGCTTGATCACTATCCCTTAAAGCTATGCAAGGCGCCACAATAACCTATTCCCCATGTAATCTCCAGTATTCTAACTCATATATGTAATATAAGCAAGCAAACAGTGATTAAGAAATGGCAATGAAGTAATCGACAAACCATAGAAATAAGAAAAAAAAAAAAAGAATATTCAAAAAGCTCTGGTAAGTAAGCAGAAGGAATAAATAACTTAAGTCTAACTTCATACGAACTTTTGGTTTACCTTAATTTCATAACTTTGAAATTCTGATGCACAATCCTTATAGATAGAAACTACACAGAAACTATCCCAGAACATCAAAGGCTTATTTGATCATACACATATGCAATAAAAGATACTGGAGTGCTGCTAACCAAATTCATGTACTGTGTAATTTTCTGCCAAACAAAACAAATGTTTCCATGACTATTCCAAAAGTTCCCTGTGTATTTTTTTACTTACTGGCTTCTTCTTTAACTTTATCAATTTCTGCCATTAATGACACTTCTTTGTCTACGATGCTAAAAAAGGGAAAAAAAAAGAAAGAAAAAACCACAGTTTAATCCATGCTAGAACTCCAGCAAAATCCTACACAAAGACTTCAGACCTTGGTTACGGGCAGTTTTGAAATTAGTAAGACTTAAAAAATGGAAGCAGAAGAAAGAGCTAGGCAAACAGACTACAAAAAATAAGCAATAATCAGTGTATGCTGATTTACACAAACATCTCACTGGCCTGTCCATGTGTCTGCACAGATGTGGAAGCCACTCTGATTTACCTCTTCAGCACTGCCTGGGCACAGCAGTCCTCAAATGACTAAACAGACTCTTTCCTAATTAAGCCAGATATACCATTGCAGCTACCCAGGTTAATACAGCTTAGCTCTCAGTGCAATATTAAGAATAAAGCAGAATTAAAGCCGTGTGGAAAGACATCCTTCTCTTCCTTAAATACAGATATTCTTGCAAAATATGTCAGGGTAAAGAAGAAAATGGTTTGTGATGTAAATAAGCATTAATGTATAATAGAGGCCAGCTTCCTTGTCCCCCACTCTCTCCAGGTCTGGGAAGGTATGGTTCCACTTTTACCTGGCCTTCCTAAAGGTCTCATGTGCCTCCTTCCACAAATCTCCGGTGCACAATCCCTGACAGTGCTTTTAAGCTGTCAAAGTGCAAACTGATCAGATGGGTCTACCGAGAGCAGACAGTGGGTCTGATAAATTGTTCACATCATGAGCCCAGCGACTTTGTTCAGTGAAATAACACCATTGCAGAATGTTCTCCAGTGGATAGTGCTCTGGTGTGCCACTCCACTTCCCCCTCACTAGATTATTCTCAGTCATACTCATGTTTAATAAAACCACCACTGTTAATGTTTACATTTGCATAAGTGAGTAAACTCAAGCAGCTGGGGGGAAATCACAAAAAGTAGGTCAAACACCAGGAGTAAATCCAGGCATGCACTCAAGAGAAGAGATGAGTTCTCAACCCTTTCAGTAAAATCATCCTTAAACATAAGCTTTTGCACACAGTGAAGACACTGAGTTACATGTGAACTAGCTTCCATCGGAAGGAAGATGTTACAGAAAACTCAAGAATAAAACATTTGTATGGAATGCCCTTAGCAAGAAAGGAAAGATCTACAGAGTTCAGTGGACAGCAACCAAAGACAGAAGACTTACAGAGAAGGACTGTCGGGTTGCTATCTAAAACAGGGAAAGATGAGGGAGTGGGCAGCATGGGGAACACATGGCAGATATACAGCTGACTTTAATTACCAGCTAAAATGTGTTCCAGTGCCATGCAGCCTTCCTTGAAATCTTCCCCTAAATTAACCAAGCTCATACAGGAGGTTTGCAACAGAAGTTCTGCGGAGCCCTACCTTTGGGTTTTACCCAAACCACGCCACCTTTAGAGGAGAAGAGTCTACTACCTTTACACTGCCTCCCAATAGCCAACAAGGACAGAAGCAGATTGGCTGATGGCAAAGGATGCAGCAAGACAATAAAACTGCAGTGTAACACATTTTTCTTTTTCATACATATAAACAAGACAAAAAAATATTAGTTTGGCCTGCCAGATTAATTTAGTGTGACCTACACACCAGAGGAAATAAAACAGCAGGGTAGTTCACAGTACAGCAAATCAGATAAGAGGCATACACTTACAATGAAAGGACATACTTGTTCCAGCTGGCCCTCAATATTCTCCAGCATAAGCATTAAACTTGGACTCAAAATAGGCAGGTGATGATTCCAGCTTGCTAATCTAAATGGCAATAGCTTTTCAGAATTAATCTATTTTCAATTAGCTTTTGTAGCTACATGGTATAATAAACTTCCTTGGCTTCCACAGCAGGTGGCCGAAATGAATCTTCTAAGTTCTCACCTGTTTCTGCTCTCCTCAAAAAAAAGATATTTTAACAGTCTTTAGAATTTTCCTCTAAATTTAAAAAGTCTGCACATTTTCAGTTTTGCTGTCTCTGTTACAAAAGTGCCTCCCTAGTGTACTACGCAGGTTATATAAGCATAAACTTTTGGCTGGAAAAAATATTCAAGCAACAAGCTCACAACAGCAGAGCTCATCAGAGCTGTGTTTTGGCCCGGTTCATTCCATGACTGTCCTCTCCCCACACCAAGAGATCCTTGCTGAACTGCTTGGCCCCTATCATTTTATTTTGAAGCCAAATAAAAACACTTTTAATACCAGAATGAGAATAAGGCCATAGCGGTCCTATATTTATCATATTTTATAGTCAGATCTCATCTGTTACCAGACAGTTTTCCACTCCTAATGTTTTAGTGTGGTCTCTGATGAACATTTCAGGAAAGTGTTTGGATGTTGTAGTAGTAGAGGCCAGGACTCTGATGAATTTGACAGAGAACAACCACCCGAGTACCTCCCTTGTAGCTACAAACTAACAAACAAAAGAAAAAGTGTTTGGTGCCTTTGTCAATGTCAGAGTAGCTAATGTGATAAACCAAGTTTCTTTAGCAGACAGATCTTCTATGGGGTTGCCTTTCCCTGAAGACAAAGCAGCTGTACTAACTTATACCAGCTGAGGACATGGATTCTCTCTCTCTCTCCCCACCTCCCCCCTGCCTCCAAGGAAAGGAACATGCTAATTCTCTCCTGGAAGCATACTGCCACATTTCTCAGCTTAGAAATCAATGAATGACCGTATGTCATGGAATAATGGGGGAAGTTAACATTTCTTTAGAAATGTCATAGGCCAACCAGCGCTAGGAAATGCTACATTTCCTCTTAGTTTGCATAAGGGTCAAATATTAAGGAAGTGGAGTAGGAATCAATTTGATTCCTTTCTAGTCACGTAGAGCACTTCAGTGCAAAACTGACCAACTCCTCCTCCATCAAGAACTTGGCAAAGTTATAAACAAATGAAAATGCCAGAGAGAAAGCTGGAAAATTGGATTGGAAAAAAAAAAAGGTGAAAGACAAAGAGAAAACTAAATGCTGATACAGGAAAACTGATACAGGAGAAAGGACAAGAACACTACGGAAAAATCAATGGATCAAATCTTGTCTCTTGTTCCTGCTAAGATCCCACTGTTTTCACACAGAGAGCCACTTAAGCTGAACAGCTTCTTAACTCATGAGAAGTTTAACTCCTTTAAATGTATCTTCTGGAATAATGCCCTACTCAGCCTCAATAGGATGACCATGATCAGACCACAGTGCTAGCATTATTAAGAACTGCTCAGAGCTTGGCTCAGCAATACCTCCTGGGAATGCATTTTCTTTCAATGCTTCTTAGTGTCCACTTGATACCAACATGTTATATCGAGCTGGTACACTCCAGTGCACAGCCAGCAGCCATTGGTGTGCTGTGGAGAACTGGATACTGGCTGCTACAGGAACTTCTGCACACTCGTGTATCACCTCATTTGGGCTCTAACAGAGCAAGGAACAGAATGCATTTCAGATCTAAAGACACCTCAGGGAAAACATTCTGTTAATTTCTTCCTCTCTAGTTATGCAGTTTCTCTTGGATCTTCTATAGATGTTAGGAATCACAAACATGCTTCTTTATCTGAAGTTCTGAAGAGGTCATACCGTTGTCAATTTTTTCTGATTACTTCCAGCACTAACATTCTGTTAGGCTTCAGCCATCCCTTCTCCTTCCCTCCAACATGAGCACTCGAGTATATTCCATATATCATTTGAGACTCCTGTGACAAACACACAATTTGGCACCACCACTTCCCTCTCTGGATGTACCTCAATCCATGCCCTAGTCATCAGTCTGTAGGATTCCTTGCTGTACTAGTATTTGTCATTTCTGCTATAGGTGTTCAGTCTTTTATGATACATTTATAATACTCACCAGAGCAATACTGGGACTCAAATCCCCTCTCCCATTGTCCAGGCTCAAGGGCAGATCTGAATCAAGTGCGTCTTATACTCCATGACTCATGCTGGAGCCATAACAGAACAACACTACTACCTCTTTCTTTTCTGTCTCCCTTTGCCACACCTCTCTTCTGAAAGGACTGATTCTGTTCTCTTACCCCTCACTTTTTCAGGATGAGGACCTGGGTACCAAACTGTAGCTACCAGCATCGTATCACTGTTCACTGCAGGTGAATATCTGTAGTTTGGAGCACAGGATCCAGCACTGTTTGATTTTAATATCTAGTTGAAATTTTGAGGTGGGGTTCAGGAAGGAGACAATTTTGTTGAAGGAACACAGCAAGGCAGAGGCTTAACGTAGAGGTCATGCAAATGGGGCCAGGATACAGCCAGTGCTTGTGCTGGAGAGATATGAGATACAGCGGGAGAGACAGCAGCTCTCTAGGATTCACTTTGATGAAGTGATTCTGAAGGCAAGAGCATTGAGCGTCCTATTCCTGGTCAAATGGACAGTACTCATACCTCGGACTTATGCAGGCTGGCAGAATTCACACTAGTATACAGGGCAAGAGCTGCAAACACCAAACTGCAACGAGTCACCAGCACAGCAATGATAGGGGTAAATTATGCTGACAGCTGCCTCATTTCACAGTTTCATACTCAGAACAAATTCTGAATTTGTTCTGACATTAGTGGAAACAAATTAATCTTCCTCTAGTTTACTGCATGAAATTTAGTACTTGCACAGTGAAAAAGAAAAGGTATCTTCAGTCAGCTGCAATACCTCAAAATCCCACTAAAATGATTAAAGTTATTAGTGCCTCTTCAGAAAAGCTGATTCAGATTGCTATGCTGGCTGATTTATAGCTTTACTGATTAGAATCACAAGGGTTCCAGATGACCAGAATCTTCTCTTTCCTTCTGCCTCTTCTAGGCATTATGATAAACCTATTGTGCCTGAAGCAATGGGGAAATAAAAAGACCAAGCTGACATGGAGGCAAACATGCTGACACAACTCACAATGGTAAGCCACAGCTGCATGGCACAGAGGTTACTGTTAAGAGTGTAATTCAAATGAGTCCTTTCAAAACTGTGTTAAACTCTCAAAAATGCCAATTTTCTCCTTGAGATGTTTAAAAAGCTTCACTCT